GGAGCGTCTCGAAGCGGCGTCCAGGGGAGTCTCGAAGCGGAGTCGCGATGGATGTTCGTGAAGGATCTCGATCAGAGACTATGGGTTTAAATAGAGGCGACCGTAGGTAATGGATTCATTCAGTCAGTGAAGACAGTCAAGAGCGCCGGATTAATTTCTGTACATATTCGTTGCAATAGATAGTGTTGTAATTCGAGCTAAAGAAATAAATATTTGAGTTTCACCAACGCCCGATTTATTATACGCCCGTCAATCGTAACAATATAAAAGGCACTGCGAATTGACAAATAAATCAACAACATCATTGATATAAATATTGAATAAAAGTGGCCCCAATATCGATCCTTGAGGCACACCAGTATTAGCTATGTACATATCAGAGAGGTAATCGCCAAGGGATACGTAGTTAGTTCTATGATCAAGATTTGATTTAAAAAAATTTAATAATGTTTCCGAAAAGCCAAGACTTGACATTTTAGAGAGCAATATGTCATGCTGAACACAATCGAACGCTTTTGAGAAGTCGGTGTATATAACATCAACTTGCCGTCTCTTATCAAGCGATTCCGATAGAAATTGCGAGATACAAACCAAGTTTGATATTGTCGATCTATTGGTCATGAATCCATGTTGGTTTGTAGTTATTAAATTTTTTATTTTAGGAAACACGCGTTTACGAATCACACTTTCGAACACCTTAGATAAATTTGATAATAACGAAATTGGTCGATAATTTTTTATATTTGACACATCACCATTTTTAAAAATTGGGCAAACTCTTGCATCTTTCCAGCTGTTTGGAAACGTTTCTGAATTTAAAGCTAAATTAAACATGAAACACAAAGGTTTAACAAGCGCTATTGCACAATCTTTAACAATAAAAGAAGGAATCTGATCAAACCCTGACACACAATTAAGTTTAAATCTCCTCATAGCACTATAAATTTCCTCTTCACTTAAATTAGAAATGGTAATCAATGGAGGAGAATTATGAGACAGTGTATCGTTATCCTTTTTTAGACCAGTATTACCCTTGTAAATGTCAGAAAAAAAATTTGCAAAACCATCAACAATTTTTTGAGGTGTATTAAACTCCTGGTTTTCATCGAAAACTGTACCTGGGACAGCCGTTCTACCTTTTTTGTTTTTAATAAAACACCAAAAATAATTCGGATCAGATAGAACAGAATTTTCAACCTTCGTTAAATATAATTTATAATCACGATTAATTATTTGTTTAACAGATCTCCTTTGATCCGAGTATGCCATGTAACACTCAAAAGAGCGACATTTCTTAAACTTTTTAAACAGAGTATTTTTGGTTTTAATGTGATAACTTAATTCGCGGGAGTACCAAGATAGAAATTTCAAATTACCAAATCTGAGAGTTAATGTCAGTACAGTTTTCAAGAAAAGACCAGTCAATGTTAAGTATTGCATCATATAATTCTATAAGATTCGCTTTTTTAAAGTTATACTGTTTAAGTGTCGAACATGCAGAAACGTTTGACACTTTTTCTATATTTAACTGATATTCTACACTTAATGATGGATGGTGAGGGTCCTCTGGCACCAAAGGGCTAAAATCACGATAAACTGCACAATTTATTTCACTATGAATCACAAGGTCCAGAATTCTATCATTACTGTTCACTATCGTGTTAGCTTGTTTAAGATTGGTGTAAGTCATTAAATTTCGTATAATTGTACTTTTTCTATCTCTGCAATCCTTCACCAAGTTGGGAACATTAAAATCACCAACGATAATAACAGTGCCATTTAAGTTAATGAGATAATGCTCAAAAGAATCACAAAACATCTCAAAATCTTCAACGGAAATATCGGGTGGAATGTACACACAAAAAATAAATAACGAAGTCATACTCAGAATAATTTTACATCCTACCAAATCAACAAGAGAAACAGAAAGGGTAACAGTACTTAAGTCTAGTATATGCGATTTAAATTCATTATTAATGGCAATGAGTGTTCCCCCGCCTTTAATACGACCAGTATCTACATTTCTATCATCCCTAAATACCGTATAATTATTGGAAAACATTTCAGAAGAAAATCGAATGTCGAAAATCCAGTGAACATGTAAATGTTGATTATTTCTCCAGAAGTCCATTGAAATTAACACCAAAAGAAGAAGAACAAACTGATGATGAATACGTGTTAAATACGATTTTAATTAATCAGAGTAGTACGGAAACCGTCACAGCTTATGAAATTGAAAAAGAAACAAGAACAGATCCAGAATTATGTAAAATGAAGAAAGAAATTCTAAATGGAACCAAAAGAGATCTAGAATTTTCACTGCACGATGGAATAATATTTAGACGACATCGTATTGTAATTCCAAAAACATTACAACACATTATTCTATAAGAACTCCATTCAACACACCTAGGAATGGTTAAAATGAAATATCCAGCAAGAAACTATTGCTACTAGAAAGGCATCGATTCTGACATCGAAAATATGGTTAAAAGTTGTCAAGCTTGTTGCGATGTTAAGAAAAATCCTACAAAGGCATCAATTCATTAATGGGAAGTACCAGAGAAGAATTGGCAACGTATACACATGGATTATGCAGGCCCATTTTACAACCATCATTTTGTAATTCTTGTCGGTGCCAAATCCAAATGGCCAGAAGTAATTATGGTTAAAAATTCTCCTACATCAGCAAGCACCATACATCATTTACGAGAAATCTTTAGTCGGTGTGGATTATTACCAGAAATATTAGTTAGTGACAATGCAACCATCTGGATTTTGTGAACGGAATGTTATTAAACAACGGATGATTGCACCAGGACATCCAGCCACAAATGGTTAAGCAGAACGATACTGTCAAACATTAAAAACAAAATTTAAATGCATGATGAATGAACCCGATGATTTACACGCGAAACTTTGTAAATTCCTCCTGCGGTATCGAGTTACTCCGTTATCTTCTGAACCGACACCTTCAGAAGTCTTTTTTGGAAGACATGTACGAACCAAGTTAGATTTTATGAGACCAACTGAATCAGCAAAAGAGAAAAACAAATCGAGTTTCGAGAAACACTTTTAAGTGGGCGATAGGGTTCAATCCAGAAATTATTCAACACATGGGTTATGGAAGTATGGAATATGTAATTACAAAATATATTGGTAATCGACACTATTTAGTAGATCTAGATGATGGTTATGTAGTTAAGCGTCATTACAATCAACTTCGTTCCTGTAATGTGGAGAAGAAAATGAATATCAACACTGAAACAGGTTTTGGCACTACCTTGGATCTAGAAGTTGATTGTAAGAATTCTCCAAACACCAACATTCTGACTCAATCAACAGAAAACACACTAAATCAAGAGCTCATTCAAGAGAAAGAAATTAGGTCAACAGAAGAACATATCGTACCGGCAGGTGTCGAGTATTGTTCATCTATTGTTCAAAAACATGTTCAACTTGAACAACAATTAATGGATCCAGAAACAAGCGTACAGCCCGCGACACGTAGATCTACTAGAATTAAGAAACCAGTTCAGAGGTTAATTTTGTAATCTAAATATTTTACTGATTTGAACTATGAAATTAGGGAGGCAAGACTTATATATTAATCAAATTGCAATGTTAAAAACAAAGACATTAATATTATTATTATATTTTAGAATAATTTTGAAGTATGACATTTCAATGAAATAAAGAATAGTATAAAAATATCTAAACTGTTAAATACACAACACCTGAAATAGCCGATGTGGTTTTTTTCTTACTAATTTATTATTCGTCGAAAATGGCTTGGATTTGAGGTACGTTATTGACCATATAATACCCTCGGGTCTAGGGCATTAAGTTGCCATAGTAACGTAATTGAAAACACAATCGGCTGGAAACCAACTATTATCTTGTGTACTGCTGGTTACATATGTAGATGCAGGGACAGCGAAAACCACGGTGTCTAGTAACACGCAAAATTGAATCTGTAACACGTAGCAAAACTGGTTAAACATATTTTTATGATTAGTTCGCTATTTAAATTCGAGGAAATAAAAGAGTTCTTTTGACGTAAATCCAACCAATAAAAAAATGTGCAAAGTTTACCTTTTTCACTTCCCGATGCTAAGGAAGTTTTGTAATCGTGTCCATCGAGCGACTCGTTGCTCTCATATTTTCTCGACGGGTCATGACCCCTAGAGTATGAAAAAATGAAATTAAGTATTTAACAAGGTTTTGCAGTTTAATTTTAAATCTGCTGAATGAAAGCATGTTTTAAAGCGTCATAAGGATGGTAAATTTTTAGTCAAAAAATATTTGCTTCCCCCGCCAAAAAATGGATGACGTCACTTAAAAGTTTTGCCAAATAAACCTTATTTTGATAACACCATTAGGTTCGTAGTTGTGGAAAATACAATTTATTTCAAATCATAGGAATTCTCATTAAAAAATAAAATTCGCAACATCAATTTTTTTAGCTTTTCGTAAATGCTGGATGTCTTTCACTGTCACGACCTTCGACCAGGTTTTTTTATAAATATCGAAAATGACACGGTGAAACATAAATAACCATTTTGGGAGGACACCATAAGGTTCATAGTGGGAAGCAATATGTTAATTTTAAATTATGCACGAAAAACATTCAGCATGACGTTACTCTGTTCACATAATTCCAGATTTGAATAATAGTGTAACTGTTATTGACAATTAATTTATATTTGTGTATTATTTACGATGCGTTGTATATTTTCAAAAAAGTTGCCTTCAGTTAGCAACTAATTAGTACAAAGGGACAACAAAAATTCAAAATGCAAACAGAGGTGCAAAAAAAATTGCATTTTTCCTCTGGGATACGAAATTTTTGTTTTCATAAATATTTTTATTCTAAAGAACCTTGATTATGATTAATGTCCTTTAATTAAACAGTGGTACGAAGGCCACAGCAGCTATAGTAATTACATGTATCCGCACAAACAACAGTAAACATTCCAACACGTTACTGTATACCTGCAACATCAGTGTTATTTACTCAAGTTCTATTTGTTTATCCGCGTGTGACTTTTATTTCTTAAAAAAATTAGATAACGCACTGATAAATTTATCGTTCATGTTTTGAACTGGCTAATAATTTAATCTTAGTTACAATTTCCTGTGACCTTCGCAACTAATCAGACACTAATTGAAGTAAACTAAACCGGCTCAAGCGTCGTATCAGTGTTTATGTGGTGTCGGACTGCTCTGTTTGGGAAACGTAAGTGACTGTAAACCACTAATTTGTCACTTTTTTAACTTTCGCAGAATTAGCAACACAAAATGGCACTATTAACTGATACTTGGGCTTTAGACGCACTAACTATTGGTGCAACTTTAATTACCATATTCATAGTTTGGGTAAAATGGTCACACTCTTACTGGTCTCGCAAAGGACTGTTCTCCACCACTCCTACTTTTTTCTTCGGTAATTTCAAGAATGTGTTTCTACAAAAAGAATCTTTTGGAGATTTTACTGAACACTTGTATGAATACTTCAAAAGTCATTCTAAGCCTCATGGTGGTTGCTATATGTTACACATGCCAACTTACGTACCGATAGACCCAGATATTATCAAACACATCATGCAGAACGACTTTGAACACTTCGTCGATCGAGGAGTTTACTTCAACGAAGACGACCCACTAAGTGCTCATTTATTTTCTCTAGAAGGCACCAAATGGAAAAATTTAAGAGTCAAACTTACACCAACTTTTACCTCCGGAAAAATGAGGATGATGTTTGACATTTTGGTGGCATGCAGTGGTCAGTTGACCCAAGAGATGGACAAAAATGTAGGAAAAGCTCCCATTGATATCAAAAATATGCTCGAGAGGTTCACCATGGATATTATTGGAAGCTGTGCTTTTGGAATAGACTGCAATTCGTTGAAGAATCCTGACAATGAATACACCAAGTATTTAAAATTGTTCTTTGTCGAAGGATTTTGGAGAAATATATCCGGGATAATTACGTTTGTGTCACCTGAGATCGCGCGTCTGTTATCATTGAAGGCAGTTAATCCACGTTTGAGCGAGTTTTTTATGAGGGTTATCAAAGGGACTGTGCAATATCGAGAGAAAAACAATGTTTCCAGGAAAGATTTTATGCACCTTTTGCTGCAGCTGAAAAATAGGGGAAAACTTAGTGATGACGGTAGCATAACTGAACAACAAGATGATAATAAGAAAGATGTGAAACTGACGATGGACGAACTAGCAGCTCAAGCCTTTGTCTTCTTTCTTGCTGGTTTTGAAACGTCTTCGACTACTATGACTTTTTGTCTTTATGAACTGTCGGTGAATCCTGATATTCAAGAGAAGGTGAGACAAGAGGTGAATGCGGTTCTTGATAAACATGATAACAAAATAACATATGATGCCATCATGGAAATGCATTATATGGAACAAGTTATCAATGGTTAGTATAACTGTTTCGATTAGGAAATATAGTATTTCACCAAAATAAATTTTTGTTTTAGAATCGCTAAGAAAATATCCACCACTTCCTGGTTTAAACCGCATCTGTACTAAAGACTACAAAGTGCCCGGAACCGATTTAGTTATAGAAAAAGGTACTAAAGTGTGGATTCCTGTAATAGGTCTGCAGCGTGATTCTGACCTCTATCCAGAGCCAGAGAAATTTAATCCGGAGAGGTTTTCTGAGGAAAATAAGAGACAAAGACACCCTTATTCATTTCTTCCATTTGGGGAAGGACCAAGAATTTGTATAGGTACATCCATTAAAATAGCTCTTAAAGCATTAACTATTTTTTATTGTAATTTCAGGACTCCGGTTTGGAATGATGCAAACAAAAGTTGGTCTGACCGTTCTTTTGAAGAACTACAAGTTTTCTCTCAGTTCCAAAACATCAGTTCCTCTAAAACTAGATCCTAAAAGTTTTACAATGACAACTAAAGGTGGAATTTGGCTTGACTACAATCGAATCTGAAATGTCTTGCATTACATAATGATATACGAGTTATAATTGCAACAATTATTCTATTATATGGTAAAAGTGCATTCTCATTGTTATGTAATTTTTGTATTGTCAAGGAATCAATTATTGTAGATTAAGTTGTTTTCATTAATTGCTACATTAATAGTGTATGCATTGTGCAGTGAACAAAAACATCCTCAAATTGGCGTTGGTCGAAGAAACTGTCTTTCTCGTTGTCTGCTACGAAGCAAACATTATATGAATTAAGTACTGATATTTTTAAGTCTGTTAAAGAATCTTAATTATTACATTAACCCAATTAAAGAATTAGTGCTAAAGAATTTTGTTATTTTATAATTACCAATCTACATAACATGTGATTACAATGACTTAATTGTGACTGAATGATTTTGCAAATCTCACATAATTATGTGGACGACCTATGAACTTTAATCCGAAGAACGCTTTATAAACATGTTACATAAGTATATTAAAACAACGATTTGTTAATTCTTTTATTTTTGCCATAAAGCAAACAACAATCCACAGTAATCTGTATTTCACTACACTAGTTGACATTTTGCAATTTTTTACCTATAAACTTGATGAAAAAGAATATTTTTGAAAATAAGAAAAGGAGAATCAGAATGTATAATTGATCTTAATGGATGGGTTAAAGTTACAGTGGTGTAAGTCTTTTTAAAAACACCAGGCCGACACAGAAGCTAAATTTAGATGTGGTTAATTTAAACAGATTAACAGACAACTTGAATTTTTATTCAACTGACAATATTTTTATTCTCAAATTGAGGAGTTGGATGAACCAAACGTCCAACGTGTGTTAGGTCATTATTCCTTAAATCGATTCAAAATATTCTTTCTAACTTCCTTCACCGTACTGATATGTAAATATTTTTTTTTATTGGATTTGGTAAAAACGTTACTAAATGACGTAGATAACCAGTAATTCAGAATTTAATAATAACATTCCCTATTTCTTAAAGCGGCAAATTTTTTATCACTACAGTTTTGACAACTTTTCGATAAGCCACTTGATCTACAAACATTTGATAAAATTCCATTTAACAACAATGTTTGCCTGGCCTAAAGCGAACCTACAATCAGCAAAAATCGAGTAAGCAGTTAAAAAAGTTTGACGTATCAAAAATTTCCAAATTATTAGTTTTAAGTCCCCTGGTAAAGTAATCTGGTGTTTTGTTGCTGGCTGAACTTGAAAAACTCTTTTGAGCTTTCAGTGTTTCATTTTTTACGAATTTGAAAAAGTCTTGAGTACCGCAGTGTTTTTTTTTTATATTCGGAAGACTCTTGGTGTATTATTTTGGGAGCTCATGGAGATTTGTTTTATAACTTATTTAAAACAATTTTAGGGGACTTTGGTGTTCTATTTTTGGAAAATTCTGACCTACCTGTTTTTGAACTAAGTTTGGGAACCCGTTTTTTTTTTGAAAAATTTAAAACAATATTGACGTTTTAAGGATTCCTGTTTGGAAAGAATTTGGAAGTGCTTTGGAGCCTCTAGTGTCTTTTCTTATAATAATTTAATTAAATTTCTAAGAGGATACATCATTTGCCAAAATCACTCTTATCTTAGCAGATACTAACCCCGCCCACCCACCCTCTCTTTTCTTGGAAAGTATGTCATTTGCCAAAATCGATCTTATTTAAGCAGGTATTAGCCCCGCCCACCCACCCTCTCTTTTCTTAGAGGGTATCTCATTAGCCAAAATCAGTCAATCTTAGCAGGTACTAAGGTAAAAGTCCCAATCAGTACTAGGGTCCCAGTGGATGATCAAACGTGCGAAAATAATTGTAAAATAAGAATTGTACAGCAGAAATTCGTAAAATCTTTATAGAAATATTATCTTGAAGATGTCTGTATGAAATCTGCATTTATTGCACTTTTGTACAATGGGGATTTGCAGTCTTAACAAAAATGTGAAGTCACTTTCCAGCTCAATTTCATAGCTTCTCTTACGTAGATCGGTAAGCAAGTGAGTACCAAAATAATTTTATTATTTGGCTTTAAGCGTTAGTCAAATTAATGTTAGTACTCTTAGCATGTCACTGTATGTTTGAAAAATCATTTAAAATATATTAATTCTCAATAGAATTAGGTTATAATCCATAAGACTGCATTACATCTACTGGTACTCTTGCAGTGCTTAATGTATCAATGGTTGACAACAGGTACCATTTAATGGGTCATTGAGGATTAACGCATTATACCAGTTGATGATGATTCCAAATTTCTAGTTCTGAAAAGAGTAATTTTTGATAAGAACACTCAAAATTTTGACGAACATGTTGAAAAAATCACAGCAACATTATACAGAGTGAAAAACAAAATGACAAAATATTTCTTAAATAGGTGTATTAAATTCATTCTTCTATATAGAATGACAAAACATTGACTTATGTTCCATAGCCTTTCAAAAAGGTTCTGGTCTGGCCAAAAACTCCGGAAAAGAAAAACAGAAAAGAAAAAAGAGATTGCCCAAAGAAAAAATTCCTTCTGTGGCGAGCTCTTCCGACTGGCAGATGTATCATCGGAAAAAAGGAGATAAAAGAAAACCAAAAGCTAGAACGAAAGAGGTTACACAAAGGAAAGCAACAACAAAAAGAAGCAGATACTTTCAACAAACGACAAAAGGTCAACAAATGACCCTACCAAAGGAATGATTTTGTTATTATCAAATATGAAGAGATGTACTACCTGGGACAAATTTTAAACATAGTTGATCAAAAGATCAGAGTCAATGTTATCTATAAAAGTGGTGTCAACACGAAGGCCAAAAAAGGGAAATGGTCGGATGCTATAAATGTTTTATGGCACGACAAAGAAGATATTGTTAAAAAAATTGAAACACCATCGAAGCTAAATAATCGAGAAGTGTTTAATGTGGAAGAAATACAGGAATTTGACAGTTATTTTTAACTTTTTCTTTAATGTTTTGTTTATATTTTTTTATTTTTTTTACATATGTTTTTGTTTAATCAAGTTGATATGTTTTAATTGCAATATTGTTAACAGTTTTGATAGTTAATAGACTGAAATCTACTACTGGTGCAGAACAATTTTCGGTATATCATCTACTAGTACAATTCATTATTTTAACTTTAATTTAATATCTCTCATTCAAATGATCATATATTTACTTAAGAAAAACAACTTTTGCAAAAATGAGTCATTTCGTAATAGGCCTACATATTGAACTCGGTAAAAAAGAGTAGAAATGATTTTTTTACAGGATTTCATTTTAAGGGATCTGCTTAGTTATCATCTATAGGGACTTTTACTTTAGCCCCGCCCACCCACCCTCTCTTTTCTTAGAAGGTATGTCATTTGCCAAAATCAATTTTATCTTACCAAGTACTGATGACTAACTTTTGCAAAAAATGTTCAAAATTTGGAAACATTACGAGCATACAAACGCAGGAATTTTGAACATCTTCTCAAGTGTTTAGTAGGTTATGCTTTAATGGATTTTTCTTTTGTAGGTTTTGTTTTTGTTTATAATTTATAAATGTCTTATTAAATGTTTTTTTGGTTTATTTATTAATGAAAAATAACAGCTTGTTTCATTAATTATTATAATAATAATGCGCAAAGACTAATGACTACTGGTCGTGATGGTTATTGTCCTAAAAAAAAATAAAAAGTGTATTTCGGTCACCATCGTTACTAAGAAATCAAACAATAAGCCGTACTGAATAGTTAATCTGCCATTTTTCAGACACCTGGTATATACGTACAGAAATCAAGTAATGGTCCAAATCATTTTCAAACAACCCTCAATGTCATTTCAGAATTATATATCCTCTGATAATGTCTTATGCAGAATAAAAAATAGTAAAAGCTTGTTTCCGCAGTACTTTCCTGCCCCCTAAAGTACAGTCGAACAAATACAGATGTGAGAAATTATCAAATTTAACATTGAACCTTTGCTGATGATGACCCCTATGAGCTAAAATTAACATACAGGGACATTTTTTAACTCTGAACACAGACCGTAAATGGACTATGTTCAGTTTTAAAAAACACACATCAATGCATTGGTAACCATGCAATCAACATTAGGCATGTCCGCTACCATGCCGCCTTAGAAAATGAAGGTGGTCACTTCGAGTATTTATTAAAGTAAATTTCGTACTTGTTTCTGTTAGTAAATAAATTTCACATATTCGTTAATCGTGTTGACTTGAGTTTGCATGAATGTTGAATGATACTAATGACTAATGACAGTTTGCAAATTGCAACACCATTCTGTAATAAAGCGTAATTATGCAACCAATATTACACGTATTGATGTGTGTTTTTTAAAATTGAACATAGGCCATGTACGGTCTATTTTCAGAGTTAAAAAAATATCTCTGTATATGTGGATTATTAAAGTACAGGTAATGAAGATTCGTATGTGTTTCCAGTCCGTTTTGCCCTACAAATTTTTTTGATGGCGTCATCAACATTGTAGCAAGGACACGAATATCAATTTGAATAGGTGCGGTGTAAAACCACTAATAAAACTACTCAAGCTTCAAATTTTCAGGAAAATGGGATAGGTAATAAAACATGTCATCTCATTCATTAATTTTTTTGAGTTACCTTGTATAAGCCATTCAAAAAAATATTATTGCATTGATAAATCACAAGTGTGGGCTTTTGACTTATTTTATATTTTTTCGGTAAAATTTTGAGATGATGCGCGTTTTCAAATTTTTTTTCGAGCGCATAAACGCATAAATTTTGATTAACGATTTATTATGCTTACATTAACCGTAAATGTTTGCAAGATTTCAGAGCACTCGGCTTTGCACTTTCAAACTTAAATAGCAAATATGCATATGGTAATAAGTAAAAACTCTCGATTGAGGTATATGTATTTAGCGGACGGTTTCATTAAGAATTGAATTTTGATATTTTTGATCCAATAAGAACACTGAATTTTGATCACGTGATACTGAATTATTTGGTCATTTTGAGGTTCTGGTTGCTTTTTGACATCTATAATAAGCTTGTAGCTCAAATTAATAAGTGAAAATTTTTTGACAACTTCAAAAAATTATCAGTGCTGTCAAAGTTGACATTCAAATTTCAAAAATTAAATTGCAAATGTTTTAGACAACATTTATTACAATTTTATTAAAAATTTACATTATTACAACTCGTCACTTGAAATGTGCAGTTATTGTAGACAATTTTGTTAGCTGTCTCGTCACTTTCCAATCTTGCACTCTCAGAAAAAAAGTTCCGCTTGTCACAATAGCATTTTGTGTAGCTGCATATGATCCACATTTTTTTTGTGGTGTTCCTGGTCCACTT